TATTTACCAGAATTTATTTAGGAGAAAAATGTAAATGTGCAGTATTTCTGAAAAAAAAAAAAAACATATATATATTTTTTTAATAAAATCAATTAATTGGAGATGCTTTTGATTATTAAAATTTAATGGAACCATTAAAATGGAATCCAGAAAATAATGGAAAACAGAATTTGGTAAAGATAAAACTGTAAAACTCAATTAATTAGACAGGCTTTTTGATTAATACAATTTAATTTAACCTTTAAAACAGAGTATAGAAAAATGAAAATGGAAAAACCTGAATTTGGAAATAAAACGGATTTCATAGGGCCCTATAATTATAATACATTTTTTTGTGGTATTAAAAATAGATGTAAGCGAACAATTATCTATGCACAATCAGCTTGTAACACTCCAAAGAGAAAGGAAAACTTGAAATCACATCATATGACCCCTTTAATATTACTTCAAATACATATATAATAGCAATAAGGCAATAATAATTAGTTCAAATAATGTATCAAAAGCAAGAAATCATATGGTTTTATTGAACGAAACTGTTAAAATGCATAATGTATTATAAACAATATAATGTACATTACGCATTACAACAAAGGCCTGCAGAGGCCTGATGATTATTTTTACACATTGCTGTGCGATCTAATCCTTGTTTAATATTCAAGCACCATTTCATTCAAATGTCCACTTAATCTTTAATATTTGGCCATTTGTTTAGGACAGAAATGCTATAGCCACTGTAATTAACAGAATATGTGGACATCAAAACGTGTAAACTCAAGAGTGAGGGTTTGAGCTTTTATTCTGAAACCGCGATGTATTCTCCTGAGTTTGCGTAGATTTATAAATTATTTACCTTACAAATCTGATGAAATGGTGCACGTTGCGTTCCCAGAAGAATGTTATAATAAACCCAAACTCACAGCAACATGCAGAGATAGAGTTTGAGATGCTCCACACATGATGTAAATGATAACCGTTCCTGTGGAACTACTGTGACACATGTACTTAACCTACACGCATGTAAATAATTAAAGCGCATATACTGTGTTAGAACTGCATCGCATATAATTATTTAATTAAATCGTAGCATTTGTGAATTTACAAGTATGCTTAATTATGATTTTTAAATGGGTTTAATATATCATGCAGCCTTGGGAA